TTCCGTGGTTTAGTCCTTCCCAGGTGAGGAAATTACATTTACCAATGTGGGTTGAAACTTTCTCTACTACTTAAAATGTTAGAAAGTTGCCTAAGTACATTGTGAAGTTAAGTGATCTATCCAGGATCGCAGAAGTAGTATGTGTTACAGGTAGGATTTGAGCCCAGGTCTTCCTGACTTCAAAGTCCACTCTATGTTCATTGTACCACAATGCATGGTTGGTATTGGCCCCAAATCCTTCTGCTAGGGCTGTAGTCTCATTCTTATTATTTATTTAAAAATTATTTATTTTTTAAAAATTAGTTATTTGTTTTTAGTTTTCCCCATTCACTTTTATAAGATTTTGAGTTACAAATTTTCCCCCTCCCTCCCTTCCCCTCTCCCCAAGATGGAATGCAATCTGATAAAGGCAACACATGTGCAATCATTTTTAAATGTATTTCCACATCTAGTGTCATTCTTAACGAGGACCTGACTTTTTCCCTCTTTTTTTTAAAGGAACCCTTTAATGAACCCCAAATTTCAACCCTCAGCTTACCTCTCATAGAATTTTAAGTTCAGAAGTAGCCTTGAATTAAATTGTAAGCTGTGAAAACTTACTATTGGCATATCTCTAGCCATCCAGATAGAAATACTTCAAGTACCTAGTCCAGGGTCATCATCTGCTTTAGGATTGTTTATTAAATATTTATTAAATAGAAGATGCCTTTGTGCTCTGTGTGAAAGCACATGTAGTCAGATCATTCTGCAACTTGGCATATCAGATAGGGTTTTGATCTTAGAATCAAAAATACCTAGGTCTGAAACCTGCCTCTGGCATTTACTGGCTATGTGACCCTGGGCAAGTCATTTAATTTCTTCTTTCATCCTTCTTTTCCTAATCTGTAAAATTGAGATAAGAATAGCACTTTCCTCACTGAGTTATTATGAAGATCAAATGAGATGATGTAAGCAATTTTGCCTTATTGTTATTAATAAAAATCATTATTTAGAAAGTTTAGAAATTATTTATTCATCAGTGAGGGAGTCTGTAAAAGCTCTTCCTTTGGCTCATCTGTACATATTTCAAACTGTCCTGCTTTGGTTATTCTGTGAATTTATAGTTCTTTTGGATTCTATTGAGAGACAAGAATGATGCAAAGTCAAATAACACACTAGAAATGAGGCTTAAGTCAGTGAGTGAAGTGTAATGGGACATAGCCTTTCACCTTATCTCTATATTTTCATGTAAAGAGATTATAGGGCTCAGGGGAAATTGCAGTATCTAATGACATTTTTATAAACAGAAACAGGTTAAAATGAGTACCAAGGTCAGCCTTGAAGGTAACAGAAGTTACAAAAAAGACAGCATTTGGTCTCAGGGAAATCAAATGTGGATAAAAAGACAGGATGTTTGACCTAATTTAGCTTGGTCATAGAGGGTGGACAAGTAGGAGGTGTTTATGGACTATAGGTATGTTAATGGAAGATAAATATAAAATGGAAGCAAAGAGAATTCTCCATGCTGTTCTTTTTTAATTTATTTTTTTAAATAAGAAGATGTTATTGATGTAGCTGTTTTTTTGGATTGCTTAAATTTCAAATTAGGGGGCAAGTAGGTGGCATGGTAGATAGAGTACCAGGCTGGCAATCAGGAAAACCTGAGTTCAAATCTGACCTCAGAAACTTACTAGCTATGTGACTCTGTTCAGCCTAAAAAATAAACTAGATCAATAAAATTTTCTTATTTTAAAAAATTAGTTAAAAAAAAAACAAAAAAGAAATGACATTGAAAAGAACAAGGATAGGAAGGGCAGCCAGATTCAATTAAGGGCATGTAGAGGAGATTGGAACTAGAGGTGAAACAGTTGTCAGGGCATCAATGAATCAAAAGGTATCTGAAAGTGTTTGACATAATTGATGTGTGTGGGAAAACCCCAAAACCTAAAACCATTTGAATACAAAAAAAAAGGAGACCAAAGGAACATCAATGACTACCTAGTGCATACTTTTATATCTACAAATTGAGAATCATAAGCACACAGAGAGAACATGGTTGTAGTAGGTGCTTAATTAAATGTTTGTAGAACTGAATCAGTTTGACCGAGACATTTTAGCAGCTCTGGGTCATCAGAAGATCTTAGATTTACAGCTGGAGTAGTTTTTCTTTATTATCTAGTGTGACCTTCTCATTTTATAAATGAAGAAAGGGATTAGCCCAAAGTCAAGCAGGCAGAAAGAAAGAAAATGTAGGAGAAAGCATTTGAACACAGAACTTCCCATTCCAAATATCACAGGTGATTACCACTCTGTTCTGGGGAAACCCACTCAAATTAACCATACCAGATGGCTTGCAGGACTCCCTGAGGGGTGGGATAGCTAATCTGTTCACTCTTTGCATCCATCCCTAATTTGTAAAAACTGCCTTCTGTTCAAAACGATTTCAGTTCAATCTATTGAACTGTAAGCCTGACCTTGACTTCTTTGAATGAAACCATTCAATGGTTTCAATGAATCATTTAAGTGAATTTGGGGAGCTTCTACTATATGTCCAATTCTTTTGACTTTGGTTTGTAACAGAATTTAATATATGAAAGGGGATGTGTGCCTAAATAGCTATCTCATTTTCATTCCAGACAAAAGGAAAGATTCTGTAGCAGATTCGGTAGCCGCCAGACCAATATCTTCCAGCTTTAGTCAGAAATTAAAAATAAGAGGAAATTACTGAGATGAACAAATATTATTTAAGGCAACTGACCAGGCAGAAATGAGACTATTTGGTAATTTACTAAAACAAATTCTTCCTCTAAATGTTGAAATGATGTTTTAAGTGTTTCTATACTAAGGGAAAGAGTTGTGGTTTCAATGTGTTTTCTTCATACTAGATCAAATCATTGATTTTAGCTTAAAATAAACTTTAGTGGGAGGGTTGGTGTGTGGGTGAATGGAAATAACTTGGGCATGAAGAGCTTTTATGTGGTTGTCTCCCACTTAAACACTGAACAGGGGTATCTAATGGCTTACAATAAGACCCAAAAATTTGGAATCAGTCCCTAGCCAGATTAGTGCATTCACTTTGGTCCCTTAATTTGGGTGAGTACAAAATAATTATCTGTCTATAATGTAAAACTAATTAAGAGGAATGGTGATTTTTGTGAATAAACTCAAGGGAAAAAATATCAGAAAGCTTTGAAAGACCACTATTGTATTTAAAATTTTATGTTTATATTTCTATCCCTGAATTCCAACTCCCAACACCACACTCTTACCTTCCCACTCGTACCATTTTAAAGGAAAAAAAAGTACACTTTTTTTTCTACAAAGTTTCTTCCTGACGGGTGGGCTAGTAGCAAAAGTAGCTATTCTGAAGTTTAGTGAGTGGAAGAGGTCCAAATGATTTTTGACACAAACTAGTTTGAATGATCTCATTTGCTTAAATTAAGATGAGAGTGCTTAATTGCTCTCCCTATCTTTTCTTGCTTTTATACTTCAGGAATGTGTTTGTGTGTGTGTAGTGGAGGGGAAGGAAGAGAAATCTGTCAGATATCTTGGTTTCCTTGGTGAGGTATAAAGAAAACTGGATTTGTAGTCAGGAGAGAATTGCGGGTATGAAATACAGTACTAACATTTACTAGCTGTGGGAATATGGGAAAATCACTTAACTTTTCCTGAGTTTTAGTTCCATCATCTGTAAAATGGAGCTAAAAATGCCTATCATACTCATGTTATAGGGTTATTTTGAGGCTCTGATAGTGCAATGAATGTAAATTGCTTTCTAAACTTTATAGTTTATATATGTCAGTTATTTTTAATCATACATACATAATTTGCCTGAATAATTTCTAATAATTTCCCCTTGACTCTGAAAAGTTTTTAGCTGTAAAAGATTTAATAAAAATTGAGATGGGGGAAGAGGGTTATTATATTATCTTTTACAGCATCTGTGATCAGAAAATTTGGATTCAAATCCTATTTTTTCTGCTTATCAGCAATGTGACATTGGGCCAGCCACTTAAAATCTCTAGAATTTGACTTCATCTACAAAATGAGCATTTTAATGCCTGTAGTACGTATGTACTGGGTTGTTGTGAGGATGAAATGAAATAATGCATATAAATTAAATTTAAAATTGTAAAATGTTTGAATTCTTTCTTAGTATACTTTGTCAACACCTTCAATACCCTAAGTGAGGTATTGAAATCAAACTATAAAATGGAGTGGCCATTGAAATGCATCAAAAGTCAGCAGGATCATGGGATAAAAGGATCATAGATTTAGAGTTGGGAGGGACACAAAGGTCATTGGGTCCAATTCCTTCATTTTACACTGAGGAAACTGAGTGTCAGAGACAGGAAGAGATTTGCCTAGGGTGCTCCAGTTAGTCCAGGTCAGAGGCAGGCTTTGAATCTAGGTCTTCGAGACAGCTTCGAGACAAATAAAATGTTGCTTTGTTGGGCCAGCAGGACTAGATATAGTTCTGGGTAGTTAAAATAATGTTAGGGATAAAGTAGGTGCTCAATCAATGAACAAGCATTTTTTAAGTGTCTACTACATGTAAGGTACTGTTACTAGCTTTGGATATACAAAGAAAGGCAAAAGATATTCTCTCCTCTTAAGAAGCTCATGTCTAATGGAGGAGGCCACATGCAAACAACTTTGGACAAACAAGATATATGCAGGATAATTGGAAATAATTAACAAATTACAGGTGCTGGCTTTAAGGGGGATCAGGAAAGGCAGAAGGTAGAAATTTACCTGGAACTTGAAGGAAGCCAGGGAAGTCAGGAGGTGGAGATGAAGAGGGAAAGAATTCCACACATTGGGAGACAGCTGGTGAAAATGCGCAGTTGAATGGTTGAGTGATTCATTCATTTTTTGAAGCTCAGTGTGGATATAAATCATGTTTAATAACTATTATCTCCCTCTCTTGATGTGTGTGTTTGTCTGTGTGTGTTTGTGTGTATGTGTGTATGTGTGTGTGTGTGTGTGTGTGTGCAAATATTGTTTGTTACCTTCTGTAGGACTAACAATCTGGTGGATGATCATCTTTGCCATCACGTTACCGGTTTATACCAGTGTTCATTATTTAATTAAATTGTACTAAATTGGGGGGGAAATGGAGTTTTGGTGCTTCCTGGCTTTATCAGCTCTTTTTATAGAGTCCTCATCAACAATTCAAGGTAAGATTCTATTTTTCTATTGATTTAAAAAAACATTAATTAAAAAAAATCCTCTTGTCTGACTTTAAGTAAAATTAATTTCAGATATTTTTACTTTATGGTAGAGTATTTGCTGGAACTAAGTTGTCAAGGCAAAGGTCCTTTTGTGTTGTGCTGGTTTTCTTTCAGTCCTGTTGCTTTGGGACAAGAGATTCATTTGACTTTGGACTTTAGTCCTAACTGCCATTTGTGACTTTGGGCAAGTCAGTCAAGATAGTCATTCAACCTTTCTGTTCCTCAGTTTTCCCATCTGTAATGATGAGAGAGAGCAGGTCTCTTCAGCTCTAAAATCATTTGAGTCTTTGACAAATGGACCTGCTTTTACATAGAGAAGCAACTTTTCCTTTGAAGTATTGCAGCAAATCCAGTTCCAAATTAGAGCGCCACAGCTCTAGAGCTGGTAGGCACTCTAGACCAATACTCTTATTTCCAGATGAGGAAAGGAAAAAAAAAGCAAACATTTATTAAAGTGCCTACTCTGCCCATTTTTTTATTTTTTATTTTTTTCCTGTGGTGTTGTAAAATCAAAGTACTACTTTATTAAATGAGTTATTTTACACAATGTGAACAGCAATATAATTACAATTGTAAAAAAACAAAATTATAATAAGGATGGACTAATTTTCAGGATTTCCAAATCAGGGCCCAACTGTACATTTACACAGAATTGTCTTTGCATGAAGCCCAAAAGGAAACAGCGTAAAAATGAGTGTTTCTGTAGCCCCCTTATTTTTGCTTATCACCAATTTGTTAGAAAGGCAGTTGCAGGTTTGTTACCTAAGGTCTGAGATAGTAGAAGAGTCAATGGGTGCCATGAATTCACCTGTAAACAACTTTATGCCTGAACATTAGCCGATTCTGGAGTAAGTGGAATCTTGAAATGTTTGCTCTCAAAGTGCTGTCTGAAGGTCTTGGGGTTCGGTATTCATGTCCGACAGACAGTGCAGGTATATATCAAGGCAGCCTTAGCAGCAGCCTTCTGATCATGTCCTTGTTTCCTTTTCCTGTCCAGCCTTTTTTTTTTCGGCATTTTTCTGCTGATACTGAATCTTCTGCTGTCCACGAAGTCATATCTGGACTGGGACAGTCAGGCATCCGAGGATCCGCGGGGCAAGAGTGCTGGGGGGCGGGGAAGGGACGGAGGATGGACTGAATGAGAGAGAGCGCTTCGCTCACCACCTCCGCCTCCTCCTCCTCCTCCTCCCAGTGGCTGCTCTCTCTGCGCATTTTTAAAGCACTTTACAAGTATTATGTCATTCGATATTCACCAACCTTTTGAAGCAGATGCTATTAGTATCCCTTTTTTAACAGTTCAGGGAACTGAGTCAGACAGAAGTTAAATGACTTGTCCAGGGTCACACAGCTAGTGAATGTCTTAATCCAGATTTGAACTTAGAGGTCTTGCTGACTCCAGGTCCAGCTCACCGTCCTCTCTGCCACTTGAGGCCCAGGGTGCTTAAGTAAGTTGTCCAAAGCCACACAGTTAGCATCAGAGGCTGAATTTGAACCTGGGTCCTCTGACTCCAGAGCCTATGATTATTATTCCTTATACTGTAACAGGTGGTCCACAGTACCCAGCCAAATGATTATTCACCTGGCATCATTCATTTCACATCCTTTCGGAGCTGGATCAGAAATTAGAATTTTCATTTCTGATACAGCTGTGAATGCATATTTCACCATTTAAAAAATATTTTTCAAAGCTATACATGGCTGGAGTAACTAGATGGCACAGTGGATAGAGTGCTGGGCCTGGAGTCAGGAAGACTTCTCTCCCTATGTTCAAATTCAGCCTCAAACACTTAATAACTGGATGACCCTGGGCAAATCACTTACCCCTATTTGCCTCAGTTTTCTCATCTGAAAAATGATCTGGAGAAGGAAATGGCAAACCACTCCAGTATCTTTGCCAAGAGAATCCAAAATGGAGTCATGAACAGTCAGGCATGACTGAAATTATTCAAAAACAACAAAAACATACGCATTGGAGTATCATATATATAACTTTTGTTCAATTTGTCTTCCTCATTTGCAGCTCCACACTATAATGCAATGGAAAATGAGGCTTTCATTGTGTTGTGTCCCGGAAGAAAAACTGGATTTGAAATTTACTGGACTTACTTTAATTCTAATAAAAGCATTACTACCAGTGAAAAAAATCGGATATATTCTTCAGGGGCCAAACTCAAATTTCTACCAACTTCAATGAAAGACTCTGGAATATATACTTGCATTAAAAAAAGGTATGTAGACCTAAGGAGAAAATAATGAAAGAAAAATCTTCAGGCAGCCAACCTATGAATGTCAGTTATTTTGATCTGTGTTTTAGTCCTGCCTTGAAGCCAGAAAAACTTGGGTTCAAATCCCACATCTGATATATACTGTGTGACTCTGGGCAAATCAACTAATCTCTGTGACTGAGTCAACTCTCTAACTACAAGTTGCAGAGAAGGTACCAACTGCCACTGGCACAAGGACTTTCCTCATCTTGTAAGATGCATCTTCCTGAATTCAAATCTGGCCTCAGACACTATCTGTGTGACCCTGGGCAAGTCACTTTACCCTGCTTGCATGAGTTCTCTCATCTGTAAAAATGAGCTGGAGAAGGAAATGGCAAACCACTCCAGTATCTTTGCCAAGAAAACTTCAAATGAAGTCACAGAGAATCCAACAGGACTGAAAAATGACTCAAAAACAATAATTCAGTATACTAGTGAAATTCCAGCAATCTCTAGCCATTGCATTCTCCCATTCTTCTTTTAGCTATTTCTTTAAGTATTTCTTTCTTTTCTGTCTCCCTTAAACCATCTTATAAACCTAAAATTATTGTAACACTTCCAGTAGCTCTGACAGGGAATGGATTTTTACCTGCATCTGAATGAAGCACGTGAAGCTCAGTAGAAAAAGGACATGGCTTTACCAATGGCTGAGGGGCCTTAGAGATATAGCTTAGCTTTGAATTTGGGGAATAAATAAGAATGAAAAGAAGCTCTGAGGCACAAAAACATAAAAACCAGTAAACTTGAAGCAGGTAAAACAGGGAATGTCTGGAAAGATCAAATTAACACTTTAAAACTGATTAAGTTCTGTGAGATAACATGAGAAAGATCCTATTACATTATATGTTTTTTAATTTAGATTGTTATCTTTGCATTATCTAAGAAATATAAGCATATTCACCTTGTAGAGAAAAGTGAATAGGATGTTATCTTTAAGTAATGAAAGGATTATTTATTTTTTAAAGATTTAGAAGAATTTTCTTTGCTAATCTACTAGAGCCCACTGACCAAAATGTGGTAGTTCATTAAAGATCTCAAATTTTGAGATTTGTCTATTTAAAATTTTCAATTTCCTGTTTTGTTAGTCTGGTAACATATTCCTCTTTTTTATTTAAAATTTTTAAAATTTAATTTATTTTTAATTTATGGAATAAAATAAACATTTCCATAACATAGTATGATTTTAAAAAGATGACTGCACAGGAACCTGCACCTATATTATGTGCAACTTGCTATTCCTTTTAAATATATAATAAAGTTACCTTGTAAAATTCTTTTTTTCCTTTTTTTCTCTCCCCCCCAACCCTAGAGATGGCTATCATTAGATACAAATATGTATATGTATGTATGCATACATGTCTGTGTGTACGTATGTAAATTCATTCTATGCATACTTCTATTTATCAGTTCTTACTCTGGATATAGATTTATTTTATTTTTTTAATTATACATTTTATCAGCATAAAGTTGGGCTGGTAATTTCTGATAGTTTCTTAATTTATTTTACACTTCTTATAAGCTGTAATTTCAATTTTGGCTATTTGATTTTTCTCTTTCCCTTTATAAAAATAAAATCTTCCAATTGTTTGTTTCATCGATATTTTTTAAAAGCGCCCACCCAAACTTCCCTTAGTTTTATTGGTTTTGCTTATCAATTCAATTGCTGTTATATTTAATATCTGTTCTGATCTTGATCTTTTCCCCTTTTCTGCTTTTATTTTGGTATTTTGTTCATTTTCTAATTTAAATAGATGGGACACATTGAGAAATTTAGTGCTACAAATTTGCCTCTAACTAGGTCCTTATCCCTGCTCTGTTGGTTTATTGCAAACACCTCCTAATTGCTTTCCAGGCTTCCAGTCTTTCCTCTTTCCTATTCATCTTCAATACAACTGCCACATTGATATTCCTGAAGCCCGGGTCTGACCTTATCAATCCTCTGACCATGAAGCATTCTTCAGTAGCTGCTTATTGCCCCCACCAATATGTTTATATTCATTAATGAGCCAGAGGACACAGTTGGCTTTTAGCCATGGCATTTACTAGTATAACATAGTAAGACTAACAATAGAATGCTTACCCCAACAAACAAAATCCCCATTCTCCTTCAAGTATATATGTCATCAGTGGAGAGATTGAGCACGTCTAGAAAGACCCACACATGTAGAAGACGTGTGGAAGGGTAATTTTCATCTCTAGTACCTCAGGGCCATTGATTTCTTCTCATGGTATTCTCAAACCGTTCCTCAATGGACACAGTATCTCTCTTGAGTTAGTCAATTGTTTGGGTTTCTGGGGTTTGTTCCTCAACTATACATAATACCATTAGTGGACTTACTTGGTGTATTTCACACCAGGACACAACATCTGTGCTATGTTGGGCATATGACTCCACCACTTAGTCATGGTCTCCATTGTCTTGGGATCCTGGCTTCTGGTACTGCTATGTGCACTTATATGGCATGGATGTGACTTTAGTCAAGATAGATTATGAAAGACAAACCAATAAGCTGCTAGAATTAAGGCAAAATTAATTGAATTGTGGAAAAAAGCCAGAACTTTAACCTAGAAGAATCAGCAGGAAATTTCCCTAGTTTGGTTCCCTCAGATTCTGAGCCCTGCTTTTCATCCCTTGAAAAGTAGGATCCTGCCCTGGCACCAGATTCTCTTTCCTTGCCAATACTTGAGCCAGAATGGTTCTTCTCTTTTAAATTCTGACATCTTACTATGGGCAAAAGGCAGAGAAAGAGATATACAGAGGCAAACTATACTCAGGGCCAAGTCTATTGTCTTTGCTCATCTAGAGCTGGTTCCTAATCATTGTATATGCAAAGTCTCATACCTTTCACAAGCTACAAATGGGCTACTTAGGGCTTGATGCCCTTAATATGATTGGAACACTCAATTTTATTAGAAGTCCCCTAATCATTCCCCCTCCATACAATTTTTTAACCAATGTTTTGTTCAACAAAGCCTTGATAAACTTTATTGATTTGATTGATTTATTGATTTGATTGATCAATTTATTGATTTGATGTAGTTTTTGATCATATTCTCATTACTAGCTTTACTCTGCATGTACCCTTGAAGATTTCATTTCTAAATTTGCCTATGACTTAGAACATGATTAATTTTGTGCTTAATTAATTTCTTCATGTATTTGTGGCAAAATATATATATGCTCTGCTTTTCTATTAAATTATTTTCATATATTTATATATGAAACTCTGTTTAAAGCTTTATCATATATTCCAAATGTATGTTTTGGTAGGTTTACCATATTCAGAGAGTGGAGTACTGAAAACTCCTACTATTACTAATTTTCAACTTTTTATTTTTCAGGAGACAATAAGCTTTTTCTTTATATGTTTAGCTGTTTTTCAAAATTAATGTGCTTTCTAAGTATCTTTGAGTATGATATGATTTCTTTTTTAAAAAATTGTCAGATATCTTCACTAAATTTGCATATTTTCTTGAGCAAGGTGTTATGTGATAAATTTTAGTCTATAAGATTAGTTTGAATTTGTGTATATCCTGATATCTTTTGGCATGAGATATATTTCTTACAAGGAACATATTTGTTGGATTTTATACATTCATTAACTTATGACTTTTATAAAGGAGTTTAATCCTTACATAAATTTAGAGTTGTTGTACCTTCTACCTTTCTTTGTCAAATTGTAATCCATTTTTTTCAAAAGGGAACACAGACTTATTCTTACTCTTTCTATTCCTTGACTATAGCCCTAAATATCTTGTACTATTTCTGATATTATTGATTATACTCTTTCACTATTCACTTTTCCCAATATCTTTCTCTTGCTTCTCTTTTCCTACAAAATATTTTTTGAATTGCATCAACTTGTTCATTGTCTTTTAGGTGAATTTTCATTTTCTTGTAAGGATTTTTGGCAATTTTATTTCTTTTCATCATTTTAATTAACTTTTTTTTCAAGGGGAAATTACAAGGAAGCAACTTTCTTCTTCATTTTCCTAAAAGTCTCATTCTATATCAGTCTTCATAAAGTATAAAAATAATGAATAATGACTACGGTAGGCTTATTTCTTTTCAGAATGCTCAGTGGCAACCTTGGTTTTAAAATTTTTAATTTTGATTCCTTTTATTTTAACAGCCCCACTCTCTCTTATAGTATATGTGTGAATATCACAATATATCCTCAAAGTTGTGTTATCCCCAACGACCTGTTGTATAAAGTAATAAGTGGAACATTTAAAAAGTCAATGCTTCATTGTCCTAGAATTGAATATTATGATGAAATAACACATGTGGACTGGTTTAAGGTAAGTGAGAAAGTGATGATATTGATTGATGCTAGATAATTAATTTAGAGAATTAAGGGTAGCTGGAAATTGAATACAATTTTATTTTTCAGAATTGTAAAGCTCTCAGAGGACAACATTACTTTGCAAAGAAAGATTACCTGATAATTCAAAATCCAACGGCTGCTGATACAGGCGACTATACCTGTAAATTCATTTATGGTGAAAATGGATTCAATTTCACTGTTACTGCATCTAGGTCATTTATATTTCAAGGTAAATTGCTGTATGACAGTGGTCTTTGATAAAAACAAAGTACAGTTCTTCTTTTTAAAAAATGTACTCTTTTCAGTCATTTCCCACAATTATAATTTTAAAGATGGGTGTCCTCAAATCACAATTTTTCCTTTTGCCATGACCTTTGATTTTACAAAGATAAGTGGTTTTGTTAACAGTACATTTCCCTCATATAGAAGTTGCTTTAGAACCATGTTATAATAGTGGACAATGAGAGCACCAACTTTCCATATTGTCTGTTTCCCATTACATCATTGAACATCAAGAACATAAATTCATAGGATTCTAGATTTAGAGCTGGAAGGAGCCTTAAAGGTAATTGAACTCCCTTATCTAGTTGGGCACCTCATTTTGCATATTAGGAAACTGAGGGTAATAAAGACTAAATGGCTTGCCCAAGGTTACACACAGGGATTACATAATGGGGCCAGTACTTGAAATTAGATCTTTTGACCCCAAATCCATCACAGTGCAGTTAGGCCATAGTGTAGAATGTATAAAGGAGAATAGTATAAAATTAGGATAAAAAGATGGATTAGATCCAGATTGTAGAGGGCCATGAATGCCAGGCTAAGAAGTTTATATTTTATGTCATATTTTGTCTTTCAAACAACAGAAAACCACTAAAGGGGTTTAGTAGTCATGGTCATAACTAGGCATTAAGAAGATTCCCAGACAGCTGAGTGATGGATGATTTAGAGAGAAAATAGGAGAAATTAGTTAAGAGAATAATTCAAATGGTGGGGTGGTGGTTAAGAATTCAACCATGGTAGTAGCTTTGGGAATAGAAGAGAAGGGGAGAATGAAAAAGTTATTGTGGTGGTATGTCACTATGACTTGATGATAGGGTGGATGGGAGGAAAAGGAAATCATAACAGTCAAGAATAGGTCTGAGATTTTGAATCTGTGAATGATGGATAATTTAGCAGAGGAGTAGATTTAATGAGGAAGATAATGAATTCAGTTTTGAATTCATTAATATTCTGGATATCCAGTAGACAACTGTAAATGTTAAACTAGAGATCAGAGAGGTGGTCAGAGCTGGAGAAAGAGACTTGCATGTTATCTGATAGTTGGGAAAACTGTAGTCTCAGAAACATGAAATTTCAAAGGACGAAAGTTTACAGATCAAGGACGAGAACAAAGTCTAATGGGATCCTCATCTCAGACACTTCCTAGCTTGTGACTCTGGGTGGGTCACTAAAATCTGTTTGCCTCAGTTTCCTTATCTGTAAAACAAACTATAAAAGGAAATGGCAAATCACTCCAGTATCTTTAGGAGATAGGAGAAAGAAGAGCTAGCAATGAAGATTTAGAAGGAGGGATCAGAAGAGATGAAAACTAGTCCAGTGCTGTATCCTAGAATCCAAAGAAGAGAGACTAAGAATGGGATAGGGTGATAAATGGTATCAAAATATTTTACTAAGCTGAAAAATGAGTACTAATGAAAAATCTTTCCTTGGCTTTTGTGCTAAGAAAATCAATTAATGACTTTAAAAAGAGAAGTTTCACTGTAGTGGTAAGGATGAGAGCCCAGTTGTAGAAAGCTGAGGCCTGAGTGGGTGTGGTAAGGGAGCTGAAACTGAGTGTTGAGAATTCTTTCTAGAAGTTTAACAGTGAAAGGTTGAGAAATATGAGGATTTCTTGAAAGGACATCAGGGTCAAGGAGAGGTTATCTTTGGAGATGCTGTACAATTAGGTGGTGCAGTGGGAGTTAAGTGCTATTATTATCCCCATTTTACAGTTGAGGAAACTGAGAGGCAGGCAGAGGTTAGCTAATTTGCCCAGGGTTGCACGGTTAGTGTCTGAGGCCAGACTTGAACTAAAGTCTTCTTAGCTCCAGGCCCAGTGCTCCATCCATTATACCACCTAGCTAGCTGATTTGGTATTGTAAAGACTGGCTTTCAAGTTCCATCTTGTGAGACATATTGTCAGTGTGACCTTGAACAAGTTAATTAATATTCAGAGCTCCAAATATCTCCGCCAAAACTCTAAGTTGCTGTCAATGTGTATCAGTAGATCATAGAATTTGAAGATGGAAAGAACTTTAGAAATCATCTAATTTAACACCTCTGTTTTGTAGATGAGGAAAATGAATCCTAGAGAGGTGGAATAACTCGGTTATGGTCAAACTGTTTAAACTGGGAGAGCTGGGGACTTCCATGCTAGAAATTCCCTATAGGGATAAAATTGTAGACCAAACCAAACAAACAAACAAACAATCAAAACCTTAAAATAAAAACGAACATTGGACACTTCTGCCTATAATTTCTTTAAGTCAGTCCATGAAATCTCCATTAATGCCTTTGTCAGTACTCTTTATAACTTTCTAAATTCAGGCCTAGACTTTACAGGATTAGCAACTAAATTTGTGTAATTTGAAAGGTACTGAAAACCGATATTTCTCATAATGGTAGGAATGACTTCTCCCTTCTACGAATCTAGTACATTGGTGGGATACTGTGAACAGCTCAGAAGACAGACTGATTCCTAATTGTGATTGGGCTTCTTCCATTAGGTTTCCCTAGTTTTCTCTGATTCCATCTAAGAACATCCCATAAATAAATGATAACTCAGAATCTGAACTTCAAGTTCCTAACTCAATTAACACTCAATATTCTCTTTTCCTTTACTTTTAAGGAGAAAGTAATTACTCCATGCGTCCAGAAATTACTTCCCCTGTGAATCATCACCTCATAGAAGTAGAGCTTGGTAAGAATTTCTTCAAATACTATCATGGTGGACTGGAAGGTTACGGACTATATTTTATGACTTCTAGGTTACTGGTTAGGAGCTTCACAATTGCTCTAGTAGGGATTAGGTAATAATAACATTTCACGTATTGGAGCTCTGAACAATTTCAGAGCATTTCCCTGACGTCACTTGGTCTAGCATGAACATAATAAGTCTTAGTCCATATGACTTCAGATGAATGAATGAATGAATAGAAGGGGAAAAAAAAAACATTTATGTGCAAAGCACTGTGCTATGTAGCCAGGGACTACAAATAGAAAAGTAAGACAATCCCTGCTCTCAAGAAGCTCACATTCTAATGGGACATGAAAGAAATCAAATGGGTGCCAGAAAAGAAAATCTAACAGTAGCTGCAGAAGATGTCTATCACATTCTTCTGCTCCTTGCTAATAGTTTGGTTTTCAAGAGAATCTGTATTTGTGGGTGGAGTTTCTAAGTATACTTGCTGTAGACAAGTCATCTTTTGACATGCTACATGGTCCAATTGGAGGTTGCAGTTGGAATTGTGGGCAGTGCCAGGGTAAGTAATGCAAGGTAAAGGGAATTTCTGCAGATGACACGACTTTTAAAAGATACTTATAAGTTTGAAATGAGGTAAATTCGGTGCCAGTGGTGCCAGAAAGAGGACTACACTGGGAATTCATAGAGTCCTAGTGGAAGATCTGAATTCAAGTCTGGTCTCAGATACTTACTAGCTGTGTGACCTTGGGCAAATCATTTAACTCTGATTGTCTCAGTTTTCTCATCTATAAAATGAGCTGGAGAAGGAAATGGCAAACCACTGCGGTATCTTTGCCAAGAAAACCTCAAATTGGGTCATGGAGAGTTGGATACAACTGAAACAATACAATGATACTGAAAGGGTACAGAAACACTATAACCTCCTTATTCTTATAAGTTGTGCCCTTCATAATGAATTTTAAATACAATAAAACTTTTTTTTTCATAATATTAAATCTATTCTTAGCTTAAAGGCTAACTGCCAACCCTGCTCTAGTCCATCACTTCTTAAACTGTGGGTCACAACTTTGGCAACCGTAAAAGGTTGCTGAATGTGCAACAACCAAAAATTAATTCAAAATTAAACACATAATGAATCTGAGGTGTTTCCGGCAGCGCTTGCATCGTGCAACTTCACTTCAACCATGGCTCTGAACACGACATGTGCACTTTGCACTACGTGTGTCATCAGGCCACACAGTGACAATGAAGTCTGTATTCAAACAACATCAGTTCTTTCTCTGGAGGCAGATAGTATGCTTCATCATTAGTCCTTTGAAATTGACTTGGATCATTGTGTTGTTGAGAATAGCTAAATTATTCACAGTTCTTCATTATACGATATTGCTGTTACTGTGTACAATGATCTCCTGGTTCTGTTCACTTCACTTTGCATCAGTTCATGTAAGTCTTTCCAGGTTTTTCTGAAATCATCCTGCTTATCATTTCTAATAGCACAATAATATTCCATCACAATCATATACCATAGCTTCATTAGCCTTTCCTGAATTAATGGGCACCCTTTCAATTTCTAATTCTTAGCCACCACAAAAAGAGCTGCTATAAATATTTTTGTACAAATGGTTGACTATGCGTATTTGTTAACATGAGTTTTGCTTTTCTCCCCACCTCTGTGAGGAAGAAGAAAGTGGGAGAGAGAGAAAATAAAAATTTGTTCATCTAAAAAATAAGCTAAAATGTAAAAAAAAGAGGGAGAGAAACTATATCAATGATTTTTTTTTTCATTTCTGTCTAGGAACCAATGTGAATATGTCATGTAAAGCTTGTTTGGGAAAAGGCTCTCAGATGATAGATCAAGTCGGATGGTGTATTAAAGAGAAGAACAGTATTAACTGCATCAAAAATTCTCGATATCATGAAGAAAACAAAAAAATAAAGTAATATTAGTTGGGCTTAAATTTTTTTTTCCTTTCATAAATTTTACAACCTGCAGAATAACTACTAAAGGTAATAATTTGGTTTCTTAGGTCTAGCAACAACTTACACTGTAGAGATGTCACTTTAAGAATAGCTAACCTGAGGAAAGAAGACCTCTCCTTGGAATTTTATTGTTGGGCCTTGAATGAGCACGGAGCAAAAGAACACAGCGTAAGAATCGGAATAAAAAAGACAAGTAAGAAGTAAAGTCTATCGATGTGTTTGTGGAAGTCTTGATGATATTTTTGGATGTTTTGTCACATATTTCTGTTTCTTCTCTTGTCTGACCCTGGGCAACAACATTGGTTTAATTCTCTCCTTGGGGCAAACTGTAGGCATTTTCTTGACTCCAGGGTGGATGGAATACAACCAATGCCACAGCTTTGAGAACATAGCTTTTCCATGGCCCAGGTTACTGAACAATATCTCATGGGTCTTTCTCCTCTCCCACAAAATTTAGCTCTTGTACCATCTTTTCCTTTTCCTGGACTCCAATACTATTATTGGCCCTCTAATTCATTATATATGGCAGGTAACTTATTTGTAATATTTATACATGTTATTATTATAATTTAGCCAATACATAAATTTCCTCAACAAATGTATGTGTACACACACACACACACACTTTTTGGTTGTTTCTGAAGTTAACAAAGTTGCTATGCCTATTTTTACTAACTTTGGGAAGTAATGTGGACCACTGGAAGGAGTGTTGCTTATGCAGTTAGTAAACCTGGGTTCAAATCCTCGCATCTGACACTTAATAGCTAGGTGACTTTGGATACTTAACCTCTTTGGGCCTCAGTTTCTTCAATTATAAAGTTGGGGGGTAAGGTGGGGATGGTGGCTAGTAAGATGACTAGGCAGCTAGATGGTTTAATGGATAGAACTCTGGACCTAGAGTCAGGAAGACTCATCTTCCTGAATTCCAATCTGGCCTCAGACAACTACAAGCTGTGTGACCCTGGGTAAGTCACTTCACCCTGTTTGCCTCAGTTTCCTCATATGAAAAATGAACTGGAGAAGGAAATTACAAACCACTTCAGTATCTCTGCCAAGGAAACCACCAGTGGGGTCACAAACAGTTGGTCGTGACTGAAAAATGACTTAACTGAAAATAAGTTGACTTCTGAGGTCTGCTTTGGATCTATGTTCTGTTATATTACTATATGATTTTAATGAAAACACCTTATGATCATAGAGATGAGAGATCCATGTTTTTGTTCAGCTTCGTTAGATAATAGGTTCAGTACTCATCTTTAATGGAAAATCCCTGGTGCAGGAGTCAGAAGGCCTGGGTTTGAATCCCAACTCAATTGCTAGCTCTCTGAGTATGGGCAAAATGACTATTTTGTCACTGTAAGCCTATCTCTTTATCTATAAAATGGGGGTGGGAGATATTTAAATTAAGTAACCTTGAAGGTTCTTAATAACTCTAAATTAATGATCCTATTAAGTGTTGCTCATTTAAGATATAGTTGTGAATAACAGTTCCTCGGATAGTGGACACAATAAATGTTTATTGAATTAAATTGGTCAAATCACAATATTCTGATATTTATCCTTATTATATCTTATATATGCTGAGTATATAGATCACATACTTATACTGGGCACAAGAGATGGTCTAGACCTGAAATTTCTTTGGCATAGGGAACTCTTAGTGAGGAAATCCTCTCTACCAATGTAAATCAACACTTGCAATATAGCTTAAAATATCAGAGAGTTTCCTGATGCACTGAGAAATTAAATTATTTGTCTGGGATTACATAGCTAGTATGTGCCTGAGACTAGACTTGAACCCAGGTCTTTTTGAGTCCGAGGGTAGCTCTCTCTCCATTACCCCAAGCCTCCCTATTTTTTAATTCTTTGTATACATTTATATTATTGGGGCAGCTAGGTGGCACAGTGGATAGAGCTCTGACCTTGGAGTCAAGAGAACCTGAATTCAAATACAACCTCAGACACTTGACACTTCCTGGCTGTGTGACCCCGGGCAAGTCATTTAACCCCAATTGCCTCACCAAAAAGCAAAAAAAATTTAATAATGTTACATTTATATTATTATATATGTACTGTGATATTTTCATACTTCCTTCTGTTATTATATATAGCTTAATCATGATAGTAATTTTCTACTTATTTTTATTAAGTGGAATTAGTAGTTTTATGCAAATTAGAAATGATAAATTATTAATAGCCTCCCTGGGATTTTACTCCACATTATTAGGTTTTAGCATAGTAATATAGCACGAATTATATTCGAAAATATGAAACCAAGTGTTTTTCAGTACAGTTCTTCCTGAGTCTGGTGTGCCTTTACTTATTTTGGGGGGAGTCTGAACCTATGATTTCATTGATATAGGACAGTAGTGACAGACTAAAATAGAAAAAGGAGGCAGAAAATGATTACAAAGAAACAAAATATTTATCCCCAGAGGCTGCATATTAACTTAGAAACCCAATCTTCTATTATTTATTTTGTTAAAACACATTTATTTTGAAAAAGACAAATTATGTTCCATTGTATTTTTATTTTGTTAAATATTTCCTAATTATATTTTAATCTGATTGGAGGGGGGGACACAATGTGGCTTGTGATTCATGTGATCTTCTAAAGTAGGGAACTCCTACCTTTTATGAATGGATGCAACACTTTCTTTGCAATACATAATTTTAGAAAAATGAGGTACTGAGATGATAAATGACTTGTCTAGAGCCACACAAACACTATATGAGAGGTAATTTTGTTAAGTGTATAGAGAGTTGGTCTCTGAAGAGTGGCCCTGCTATTTCTGTGTTGTTGTTTTTTTCAAATAGAAATCTTCTCTCACGCATAACCTGAGCACAAGACAAATTCACCATCACTTACTAAGTCATCTTCTATTATGAAGGACTGACAAGATTTCTTAGTTTGATCACTTGATCTGAATCTGGAGATAGCCTGTTTATTAACTGACTCTGAGAATTATTATTATACATTTCACCCTTATTCCATTTGATAGCTTCATGGTTATGGGGGAGGAGTTACGAACTTTGGAAGCCAAATATTTAAGATAGGTTTAAACAACCACATGTGTATACAGATTACTCAGATGTTTTTCTGTCACGAGGTCAGATATTGACCTTCAGATGCGCTCCTGCATTGTTTGACAAGGTCTTCCTAGTTATCTGTGTGTTAAAATTATTTTCAGGTGGTGTCTTTGTTAATTTAAATATTCTGCCTGGTCTGTATTCTCTATATTTCATATTTTTCTTTGCAAACAAGTGACACATTCTACTTTGGTGGCTGTGTGTATCAAACAAAAACCTAATGACTTGAAGTTTTATTCCCTATTGGAATATTTCACCTCTAATTGTAGAATAAAAGAAATTGCAAAAATCATCTTTCCTTTTTTAAAAGCAGAAATTATAAAATGCATTGTCTCTTTTAATACTTCAACTGTTTAATATTTGTATATGTAGTTTTATATTGCTTATACATAGCTTATATGTACTTTAATAACATTTACATATAAGCATTTACATAATGCTTTAATGTTTGTGAAGTACTTTACAAATATTATCTCATTCTAACCTGACACCACCCCTGGAGGTAGATGCTATTATTATCCCCATTTTACAGGAGAGAGATTCAATGGTTTACCCAGGGGCTGCAGAGATGGTAGTATGTAAGGCCAAATTTATACAGTCTTCCTGGCTTCAAGACCAGTGCTCTATCTACTATTCCTCTTGTATTTGGTGTATATTCTTACACAATTTGTCATCCTTTTGTCTAGTATAGAGAGTTGGTAAATTTTGGAAAACAATATGACTTTCCTCCATCTGGGTGGAGATGGGGAAATTATAGTTTCAGGACTGAATGTTGTACATACTGTTATTGTTTTGGTATGTATTATTCAACTTTATTATATTAAGGAAGTTTCATGGTGTTACGTGTATATATATATATATATATATATATAAATATAAGAGCATATAACAAAAAAAAAAGACTGTTGGGGACAGCTAGGTGGTGCAGTGGATAGAGTACCGGCTCTAGATTCAGGAGGACCTGAGTTCAAATCCAGCCTCAGACACAAAGGCAAGTCACTTAACTCCAATTACCTCACAAAAAAAAAACAACAACTGTGAAATGAAAAACAAATGAGTAACTTTTTTTTTTTAAAGAGAGATTCTGTAGTCTCAGAATTTACTCGTTGCCATTTTGGGGGCATAGTTTATTTAAAACGTATACTCCACTTAAATTTTATTAATGCTCATATTATTTGTCACTCAAAGAAATATCAGAAAGATAAAAGTGGGGGGCAGCTAGGTGGCACAGTGGATAGAGCACCAGCCTTGAAGTCAAGAGGACCTGAGTTCAAATCTGGCCTGTGGCCAACCACTTGACACTTACTAGCTGTTGGACCCTGGGCAAGTCACTTTAGGCAACCCCAATTGCCTAAAAAAAAAAGATAAAAGTAAATCATTTTTAAAAATCATTTAAAAATGCCAATCATTCAAAAAAAAACAGTATGGTTACATTCTAACCTTCTTTTTTGAGCAACCTAATTGATTGCTTGGTTATATTGGCTTGGGGACAGGGAAGAGGTAAAACAGGGAGTGAGGGAGTATTACCTGCTGCTGCCTTTTTTACAGGGAAAGAAAACAGAGATATGATGATTCAGGAGGCAGTACCATCAGTGGGAAGGGTGCCACTTGGAATCAGAGCTCTGAGATTTAAATTTTGTCTCTAATGAACACCAGCTGGATGATCATGGGAAAGCCACTTCTTGCCTCAGTCTTAATTTCTTCACTTGTAAAATTGGAAATTTTAATATCTTTGATTAAACAGGCCTAGTGTGAAGAAAGCCATTTATAAACCTGAAAACCCCATATAAATGTGAATTATCATTATATTTGATTCTTTTGGTAGGGAAGTGAGTTGAGCTGTCATGAGAGTGACACAGATCACTGCTGCCTATTCTATTCTGTTTTCTTCAAGAGCACTTCTTCCTATAAAAGCCTCGCCTCTTGCGTAACAACAACCACCCCAGCAAATATTACATGAGTCAATATTCTTAGGAACGAGCATCTTCTCAGCTTCTATTGCCTTCTTATTAGCCTAATCATCTAATCATTTCTGTGATAGCAAGGTCAATTCCCCAGGGTAATGAGATTGTTCTCTGTGACAAGTGTATGTGTATGTGTGTGTGTGTGTGTGTGTGTGTATACATACATATACATAAGTACATACAAATGGAGTGAGCAAAATCCAGAGCAGTTTGGGAGGGCAGGGACTAATCGTTGCAGTAAATCAGGAAAGATTTCTTTTAAAGGATGGTGGCTGAGCTCCAACTTTGAAGGAAGAGAGAGAATCTAAGAGGCAAAGAGAGAGGGGAAATGCAAAGACTTGAGAGGTTTGGAAGAGAACCAAATACAGAAGAAAATGGCCTCAGTTGTTAACTACCATTTGTTAAGATGCAATTTTAATTAGGACGAAGTGTGAGATAAATTTGGTATGTCTCATCAGGACCATTAAGTAGTATTTGAAAATATATCTTTTGTTTTTCGATTGAGAAGTCATCTTGAATAGTGCCATAATAATAAACTAATTGTTCTTTGGCCAATGCTTTCTTTCTTCATGTTACTCCCTTGCTCAAAAGCAACCAACCAACCAAAAAGAAAACAACAACAACAACAACAAAAAAAAAACCAAAAAACAAAAAAAAAAACAAGCCAAACTTCAATGACCACTTAGAGACTAGAGCATGAAATCTGACCCCTAGCCTGGCATTCCTGATCCTTCTTAATCTGACCATATTCTACTTGTCCGAACTTATTTTCCCAGAACAAAACCTTTACTGTAGCCAAGCTAAGTTACTCCTTATCCCCCAAATATGTCTCATACATTTCTGTGTTTCTACTTTTACCTACTCTATTGATTGAATGTCCTTCATTCTACCACTCTGAAGCCTAGCCATCCTTTAAAGGCCGCCTCAAGTTTTACATTAAGAGGCAATATATTATCTTGCAAAAAGTACGGTACAAGAGCCAGCAAGACCTGGGTTTGAATATTGAAGGAGTCAGTAATATCTGGGTTTCAATCCTGCATCTAACATTTGCTAGCTGTGTGATCTCAGGCAAGTGTCTTTAGTTTTCTGGCCATGTTTCCTCAATTATAAAATGGGGGAAATAACAATTGTAGTACCTACCTTATAGGGTTATTGTGAGGATTACATGTTTTAATGTGTTAAAAGAGCTTTGCAAACCTCAATGTGCTATAAAATGTTGCTATCATTATATTAAGCCTTTCCTGAACACTCTGGACTTCCTTAATTCACTTTCTAGTCTTCTTCTTCTATCCATCTTATCTTTTTTTTGTTGTTCAGTGGTTTCAGTCACGTCCGACTCTTTATAACCCCATTTGGGGTTTTTTGTTTTGGTTTGTTTCTGGAGTGGCTTGCCATTTCCTTCTCCAGCTCATTTTACAGATCAGGAACTGAGGCAAACAGGATTGAGTGATTTGACCAGGGTCACCCAGTCAGTAAATGTCTGAGGCTAGATTTGAACTCAGGATGATGAATCTTCCTGACTCCAGGCCCAGCACTCTTTATACTTCACCACCTAGCTGACCATCTTGTCTCTTACCCCTCCCACCTTGTGGTCCTGTTCTCTTGATTGATGATTTCCTCTTTGGGACCACCATCTTATGAAGGAGCCCAGCCATACTGCCATATTATCATCTGGATTTAACTCTAGATTTCTTTTTCATTTCATACCTCCTAACTTGCTGCCAATACCATTTTCCTTTCTCCCCCTCTGCCTTCCTTCTCTATAGGTTTTGTCTTCCTCCATTAGGATATGTTACTTGAGTAGAGGGGCTGTTTTGCTTGGTTATATTTGTATTCCATCTCTTCATACACTGTGTAACACTTAATAAATAATGAATATACTATCTCCCTATCTGTTCATACATTATGTATCTATCTTTCTATCTTTCTATCTATCTATCTATCTATCTATCTATCTATCTATCTATCTATCT